CTGCAGTGGACAGAAATGGGTCTAGAGCCAGCTCTGCTCTGGCTAGCCCTGTGTCCTTGGCCTCTTGTTTGACCTCCCTGGGGCTTAGTTCTCTAATCTATAAAGCAGGGGTGGGCATTGCTGTCTGGAGGCTGTTGCAAACATGGTACCAGCACAGCCTCACAGTCAGCACAGGACCTGTCGCCTCCCTTCCCTTCTCCCTCCCAGAAGGCACTTGCCCCCCACCACATCCGTTCTTTTCCCTAATTCAAGAGACACTTTCCTCCTACTGCTTTCTCCCAAGGATACTGAGGCCTTGGGTAGGCCCTGGTGTCACGCTGTCGTCCCAGGCTGGCACCTTCTGGAGCATTCCATTGCCTCCTCTTCCTAATCTCTTGCCTTTCTCGATGTGGTGAAACATTAAGAATGACCACGGGATGAGGGGGGTAGCCTTAGACCTAGCCTCTTTATCTTTCAGAAGTCGCCAGGGCGCCTGACGCATCCCTGAGACTTGGGTGGGAATCATCAGGAACTCGAGCTTTGCTCACCGCCTCAGCCCCAGAAGCTGTCAGCCACTCCCAGCCTGAGCGGGTTTGCTCAGTGCAAGGACGCCCTCCTTGTGTGTGGGCACTGTTGGGTTGTCCGCTGCCCTACCCACCGTATCTCCTGTTTTCTGTGCTACATAAGGGAGAGGATTGTAAAATTAGTGACGCTGCTGTGTCCATCTCTCCCCCACTGGGGCTCAGAGGAGGAACCAGGAAGATGTAGAATCAGGGTGCATTATTTTATAATAAGATGGTACTGGGTGAGTCCCTGGCCTTTTCTCTTGAGACTCTGTCCTCTCAGTTGGTCCTTCTTGCCTCAGCAAGCCTTGATGCGGTGTTGGGCCTGGTTGGCCAAGGTCACCTTTCTTGGTCTGGTGTTCCATAGGGTGCCCTTCTTGCTGTGGCCTTGTCTTGACCATAAGACTTGCTGGGCTGAGGTGTCTGCCCAGCCTACTAGTGCCGAGAGTCTTGGGGAGCACACATCCTCTTAGAGTCCAGCATAGACAATGTCTTCTTGGGGCCTGTGGGAGAGGGCAGTAACAGCCGGTGTTTAGAGCCCCCCAACATCCAGTCAGTTGACTTAGGCCATTGAGGCAGGCCTTTGTGGTATCACTAACCAGTTGTGTGACCTGGGACAAATTATTTACCCTCTCCTGGCCTCGGTTTTCTCATCTGTACGGTGAGCGTGGATACTAGCCAGTGGGGTTGTTGGCTGTGTTCAGTGACAGAGCGTTTGGAAGCTGCCTGGCCAGGGCCTGGAGTAAGATGCAATGGCGGATGCAATGGCTGTTGCCACTGTCACTGCCATCACCTCATACCTTCAGAGCTTTCCAGATTCTTTCAGAACTGGTGAGCCAAATCTGTATAGCCTAGCTTCTGTTTGTATCCCTGTCCATCAGAGCCCCATGAGCAAGTCTGTGGTCTGGGTCTGAACCATGGAAGAGCCGAGGGAGGGGCTCTGGTGTATGAGGAGGTATGTGTGTGTCCCAGCCACAGTCCCAGCCTGAGGGAGCCCTGACGAGCCCTAAGACAGGGACCTTTCTCTGAGGCTAGAGGACATCCAGTGTGCCACGCAGTTCTGCTCTGGGGTCCTTGTGCCCTCACTGGGAAAACTCGGAGACCCAAGATGGATTCCTTCCCCTAGGACACTGGGTGATTCATCCCCACCAGGACTGGAGGACAGGATGTGCCTTTGGGACTGCAGAGGACAAAGGCGGCATGTGCTTGTGAATCTGAATTCTCCCATTCAATCTCAGACACGGGCTTCCTGGTTTTGGTCAATGGAGCTGACTTAGAATTTACCCTTGCACGTGTGTTTGTGTATGCACGGGACTGGGACTGAGGCACAGGGAAGACCACACACGTTTCTTTCCTCCTTCCCATTCCTGTGTGTCCTGTGGGACAGAAATCAGAGGAGGGCTGGTGAGTACACACATACCCTGGGCATAAGGGACCTAGGGCCCAGTGCAAGAGGCTTCTAATTCTCATTGCATCTCTACAGCTGGGGATCTTAGAGAAGTCACCTCAATGTCTTCCCCTGTAACATGAGATTAGTAAGCTTCCCTGTGGCCATGGGGCCAGGGGTCCTGCCAGGGTCTTGGTGGGCACTCAGCAAGTCTTCACCCTCCCCAAAGCTCACCTGCCACTCGGAGCAATCCTGTACCCTGTACCCACATATCTCCTTCATCTCCTCTTTTGGAGACTGGAGCTTTAGTGTCCCCTTGACCCAGAGAAATCTGCTCAGGCTGAAGCTGGGGCAGTGTCCGTGAGGCAGAGGGCAGCAGGGTAACGGCAATAACCCTCCCTGGGTCTCCTGAGGACCAGGAGTCGGCGCTCCAGGAGCTGTCCGCAGTCCTGGAGGCTTTGCTGAGAATCTCACTGCCAATTAAGGAGCAGAAGGAAGAGTGAACCTCAAGGGCATCAATGCATTGGCAGAAAATCTTCCTTCCTGGGAGGTAATACTTACCTGGTCATGCCAGTCTCTGATCTGTCACCTACAGGGGCCTCCTGTGAGCAGGCATCTATGCCAGGGCCTGAAATGGAACCATAAAGCAGGCTGGGAGAAAGAGGGAAGATACCTCAGGGGTAGCTGCAGTTTCACAGCTGTGTAGTTTTAAGGTACCCAGAGAAGAGTCAAACTGTATCCTCGTCCTTATCTCAGGGCCAGGGCTGCAGGGACATTCTTGATGCTATGGCATTAAGCCTTCTGCTGCGTGTGCTCAGAATCCCCATCCTGCCTGCTGCTGTGTTTGAGACCCCACACGGGTGACCTCCTGGATCCCACACGGTGACTGCCACCTCCTGGGCAACTGGGTGGAGGTGGCTCTCTCCCTCCTCAGGAAGGAGGACCTGGATGGTTGGGGGACCAGGACAAGGTGGAGCTTGGATTTTAACCCTGGTGACCACGGGTGGTGGGGATGCTGCCTGGCCTGGCCTATTTTTAGAAGGAGCCATGTGGGTCAGCTGGGGAGACAATAGAGAATGTCTCACAGTGGGCCATTGTTCCCACAGTGGCTTCAGGGCCAGGTCTGGCCTGGCAGATGACTGGGGGCTGGGGGCTGGGCCATCGCTCGGTCTCTGTGGATTTCTCCAGTACTCATTATGAACAGGAAAGAAT